GAAGAAGGCTAACACCACACATAACCAAAAACACCCATCATCCACAGATCAGAATGTTTTTCATTAGAAGGACAAGGAAGGTGGTTATATTTGATAAAAAAAACAAGATGAGCATTTAGTGTTTGTGTGTGACAATGGCCGAGTCAAAGTTCGGACCTAAATCCAAGACTTAATAAAGATCACACATTTATTCAGTATAAAAAACATTAAAAAACTTTTATACTTTGAAATGGAATTACATTGCTTTAAATCTGAGTAAGGTATTATACTATAAATACATTTAAATTTTAATAGGTGTCATTTATTTTGTTTTTCAGGCATTTCAGGTTTTATCCAAGATCACAAAAGACAGTAATGTAAGTGATAATGTTCAAAGCATTTGTACTGACATTCAGCCATCTGCGATCTCAGCACAGTGTCCATCTCCTCCTGCCAGCTTACTGTGGAAAACCTGTGCCGCCTGAAGCCGTTGCTCTCTGGTCTCTTCCCTGCTGTGCTCAGAAACCTCCATTGGTCTGATTTCAGTGAGGAGCACTGTCCGTGCTGGAGAACACTCCAAACTGATCTTAAGCCTGGACACAGAGCCATGTTATTCAATGCCATGCAGGAGGTGATGGTACTTTTTTCCCTTAAAACACCACTTCTCAGTTTCTTCTCCTACTAGTGCTTTGCTGAGGACTCTATGTTATGTGGCATGATTTCTAGAAGTACAGCATTTTTTTTAATTTTTTTATTCCAGTGCCAAAGCCATGCAAAGAAAGCGGCTAATTGAGATGAGATGACATCTCAACAGTAGCAATAATAGTTTTTTCTTCTTTGGTTGTTTGCTGGCAGGCTCTCCATAAAGACTCTAGGAACTTCACTCAGCAGGCAAACTGTCTGCTTCCCTTTGTCCCTCTGAGAAAGCTGATACAGGCCATGAATGGTGGGACCATTTGGAGAGGCATCAGCGCATACAGAGACATACAGTGGTCTTCTCAGCAGGTACAAACTCTCCTATAATCTGCCGACTGTGTGCAGCCTCACATTTCTTTGAAACAACAAGAGTGGATAAAAAAGAAAATCATCCTAGGCTGGATTCCTGCTCTCTTTAATCTGCAACCCATTGGATATGCTTCAGATGAGCCTTTCAGGATATTAATCCTCCGTTCACATCAGCTGCCATCAAGCTAATTACTTTGGATGTAGTACAATAGTGTGCTGGAGTGTGGCATAAATTAATAATGGCTGCCTTAAAGGGATTTTTATCACAGCCAGGAATGTATGAGCCTGTTTTCACCACCTGTTCTCAGACTAACAAGACCTGAATTTATTTAATAAAGATTACCCTTTTCACATGTGCTGAAATATACGCCACACTTTTGATGAATAATATACCGTGCTCATACTGAAAGGAATCTTTAACAGTCAGATGTTTCAGGGATTTCACACTTAGTGGGTGATATCCTGACCTTTGATCAGTGGACCAGATCATTATCATCTTCCTTATTGGACTCTGGTTGTCTGGTCCACATGTGTTTGTGGGTCTTTAGAGGAGTCGTTTCTTTTTTGTGTGTGTTTTTACGGCACTAGTGGCTAATTTTTTTATGGCCAGTAGGCTGACAGGAAAGGGGGTACGAGAGAGGGGGAGAGACATGCAGGAAAGGACCACAGGATTCGAACCTGGGTTGCCTGCGTTGCGGACTAAGGCCTACATACATGGGTTGTGTGCGCTAACCACTACGGCAACCAAAGCGTGCTCCCCTTGCGGCGTTTTATCATACCTGGGTTGCTTTGTTTCAGTGTATGTGAGACTATGTTTGAAATTCCTAATTTATCCAAGGTAGGCTTATTAGACGAAGCTCTGACTGCTACACAGTCAGTGGCAATACCCACAGAAAGGTGGCCTGATCCCTACTGTTAGGTTTCCTGCCGCCCAATGCAGAGGAGTTTAAGTACTTAGAAGTGTTCACCAGAGATGGTAGGCTGGGGGATTAAAACAGAGACTGATCAGGAAATAATGCAGACATTGCTTTGCTCTACTGAGATGAAGAAAGAGAGGAGCCAAAAAACAAACAAAAAAATGCACTTGATTTTCACTCTGCATTTTGACCGTCGTCTAGACTGGTAAAATATGGCTCATGACCCTAAGGATGAGATCTCAGATAAAAAAATAAGCTTCCTCTGGGTAGATGGCCTCAGCCTTAGAGATAGGCAGAGGCAATGGTAAGCACATTATGGGGCAAAATTTTGAAATTGCACACTAAAGATCCCTCCTCTCTCTGGAGTAAATATGTGTGCTACAGTGCCCTATACAGTGGTGAGGGCACCTTATTTTTTTTTCCTTTCCTGCCCTTCAAAAAGTCTGATCATGCCAATGGGAAGATGGACTTAGACAGAAGGCCCAGAGCAGAGCTGCTGCTTTTCTGCATCTTCTTCTGGAAGAAACCTTTTGGGATGACCCAGAATTTACTGGAGGGACAATACTTCATAGCCTTTCTGGACAATAAATTAGGGATCACCCTGAAGAAGAGAATAAAGACACTAAGATTATGTCGACGATCCCTTCCTGTTGTGTTGCAACCCAAACAAACAGGTGGAAGAAACACAAAAAACATATATTGTACATGAAATCCTAATCTTTGTGTCTCTTTTCTTTTACATTGTATAGATATTTTGTTTTTTTTCATCCACATATGAACAGTAATTAACAATAGATTAAATAGTGTCTTTTATTTGCAGACTCAGTTTTTGTTTAGACAGATCCATGAATTCAAAAACGTCACTATCAAGATGGTGAAGTAAGTCTGACCTGCAGCATAAACACTCCAAACGTTGACTTTCGGTGCAGACACACAGTTATAATCAACAATGACCTGTCTGCTGCCAACAGAGATCTGGGTCATATTGCCGCTGGAATGAGTTGTGACTTTCTAAAGTGTTGGATCAACCACACAGATTTTACTGAGTTACTTCAATTTGTGAGTGAACTGCCTGGAGGTCCAAGACCTGCTCTGGTAAGAGATAAACCTCTTCCACAATGCCATGGAAGGCAATGTTCAAAGCGAATGCACAAACAGTTCAGAGTTAATGTTTTGGCTGTTTTTTTTTTTTTGCATTATCAGCAAAAGTGCATTGTGGACGAACTGCGGAAACAACCTGAACTGGAACTCAGTTTTCTGAGTTCTGGGTTTGCAGCAACCTTACCGTAAGTAAACTATGTATTTTAACCTGGAAATAGGATATTTCTCCAATAATTTTGAACCCTTTTGTCTCTTCTCCAGAGTGACAATGGTAGACAACTTGTCTAATGCGTCTATCAGAGGAATCCTGAGCCACATTCAGCTTGAATTTCTTGATTTCCTGAGATTGCCTCACTATAAGCAGACAAATTTAGCTGAGAAGGCCTTATCTGAGCTGGTAAGGTGTCTATGTAAACTTCACAAGTACTTTAGTTACTGCAAGATGTGAGAATTATTGCAAACTGCAGTATGCTTCAGGCAAAGAAACCAGATGGTGGTGTAACTCTTATCACTAATTGGTGAGATAGGAAAATAAAAAATCTGTGGTAAAGTAACTGAAGAGATAAAATGCTCTCATGATAATAATAAAAGCCAACTTAGAAAAGTTTTTCTTGGTAAGACAGCAGGCTGAGTCATGGGGAGCTGTGATGTGATGGTCTAAAAATAGTAATTCAAGAAACAGAAGGAGAAAGAGAGTTAGAAGCAGTTTCTTCCTCTCAACAGCTTTTAACTCAGGTAGAATAAAACATTGTGAACTTGAGTTAATCCAGGATGTCTGTTCTGTCCCAAAGGACTCTTCCCTGGCTGAGGAGAAGATTGATGGGGCTGTTCTGGATGTCCTGGGGCCACTGTTGCCTTTCTTGGACAGAGACAGTCTGGCTCTGGTGGACAGAGGAGCACTGGCTCTGCGGCTGGAAGAGATGAGGAGTTTCTGTCTTCCCAAAGAAGCCCTCAGAGACATTAGTGACCTTCTGACTCGGACAGACCTGCTAGGGTAAAACATTATCTGCAATAGATTCTGGTTTCTCTGAGGAGAACATTTGTTAACTGCACATACAGAACCTTGGACAAGTATTCCTGTTTAACTTCTTGGTTAAAGCCACAAACTTTAATCCATTGTATTGGGGACCAGAACTGTACATATGCATGCAACACTTTTCAGTTTGTATTAAATAAAAGCAAAGATCCACGTATTAATTCAACCTGGGTTCTTTCTCCAGACTGCATGTTCTCCCTTATATGTGTGGCTTCTCCAGATTCCTTTCTCACTCCAAAAAACATGATCGCTAGATTCACTAAATTGCCAGTGAGTGTGAGTATGTGTGCGTTTTTTTTTTCCTGTGAGAGACTGGGTGACCTTTCCTGTCTGCAGTTTTCATTTCTAATGTATGCTCATGTATGGATATTGTTTTGATAAAATAATAATAACCATAATATGTTTGCCAGAGATCCATCCAAATGGCAAGTTGGGGATATTGAGCATCTGGGCAGGTTGGTCTTTGGTCTCTCAACAAAACAGATTGACTCAATTCCCTTGGTAAGATAATCAAATAAAAGGATCTTTATAAATCAGAATCTAAATAAGATTAATTCTTTCTGTGAGTATATGACCTTGTTTTTTTTTTTTTTTTTTTTTTAACAGACAGTGTTAAATCAGAGCACAGTGGAGCAGGTTCTTGTGAGTCAAAAGTTTTGGGAGAAGAGTCTGGTCGGTGGAATCTGTATGAGTCGGTGTGTGGACCAACAGTACCACAGAAAGCAAACCTGGAGCCTAATTCGAGGAATTGTCAAAGCACGGAGCAGAAGGGCAAAAGGTTCCACACATTCTCTAGATAAGCCCAATAAAGTACATTATAGAATCAGATTTACAATAAAACTTTTGTGATCTTATCAGTGCCAGCTCCCAGCTGTGCAGACATCAGAGGAACATTCCCTTCAGCTTGGACCCCCACCCAGCTTCGCCGTATGTCCGTAGATCAGCTGAAGGATTGTGTGGAAGTTTTTGGTCAGAATCCGTCTCTGAGCTCCAAGCAGCGACGTGCGCTGTGGGGGAAACTCAGGCAGGTCAGAAAAACCTACCCAACATCAGACCATAAAGCATTAACAGCACTTTGTAAGGGTTTAATCTGCAAGAAGTTTGTTGAATTCAGTATGTTCTGTAGGGCTGATAACACAGACGCTAGCTCGCATCTCTTTAAGAGATCTCCAGAGGCTGCAGCCAATCTTTGACTGCAGCACAACACCATCCCTCCCTAATGCATATAAAAACATTAAAACACACAACTAATCAAGATTTACCACATAATACAAGTAAAAACATATTGTGATAGTCTCTAGTACATTTTAACATGCCATTTCACAGCCACACACTTCAATGTATTATTAGAATGCTTTATAATAGATCAGCAAAAAGTGTGAAACAGATATAAAGTCAAATTAAAAGCATAAATAGTTTTTAAACCTGTAGGGTAGTGTGCATTTGTAAAAGCCATCCTGGGTAGCTGTTGTTGTTTCTTTTAGAGTCTGTCTCACCAGCTCCTTAATCACCCTTTGTAAAAATAAGTCAGATAGGATATAAACCATCTTTAAACCTGATTTTTCAAATCTTGCTACAGACTCCCCATTATTTTGATAATGTTATCTTTTTGCAGCTGTTGTCAAGCTTTAGCCGAAATGTTCTGACATTCTTTGGATGCATTGTGCTTCTTTCAATACAGTCCTTCAGTCCGGTGAGGGAGCTGAGAGTGGATCAGGTGTTAGCTCTTGGATCAGTGGTCACAGAAATGGGGGACAGAGAGCTGCAGGATGCCAGTCTTACTGATCTCGGTGTGCTGGCACATCTGGGCACACTGACGAACTGGGCTCCTCGAAAGGTATGATCCTGTATCCAGATGTAAAACTTAATAAAAGCGTAAAGGTATAGTGTAGGATTTTGGCGAATTTTTTAAAAGACCCGCCCTCTCTACATTAAAAAAAAAAATGCACATGCACAACCCTGCACCTGCTCCTGGGAGGGAAAGCATATTAAACGTGTGCGAGAGCTTGCATGAGCCAATTTCTCCTTGTTCACGCTGTGTTTAAAATAAGCTTACCACCTAAAAGAAGATTTACAATTTTTACACTATGTCAAATATCCCCCACTATACCTTTGATTCAGTGATAGTTATTAAATGCTCAGATATGTTTACCTTTCTCAGATGAGAGCAGTGGTTTTAAGTGTGATGCGGAAGAGCAGACTAAAAGTGGAGCATTTAACGGTTGTTGATTTGGCAACGCTGGGCCATCTAATCTGTGGTCTGCAAGCCTCGGAGATCAAACGCCTGAGCCCATACAACCTCAGGTCAGTCTTAGAAATACATCTATGTCATATAAATACGTAATCTGCTTTGGGGAGGATGAACAAAGACTTTCAAACCTCAGTCAGGGATCTTGCATTTACTCAAAAGGAGATAATGTGTGTAATATTTTCCTCTCAACCTGCAGTGTAGCTGTTATGTTCCTGCGGGAAATGACCCTGCCGTGTACAGAGCAGCAGATGGAGGCGCTCACAAACTGCCTGGCCAGAGCAGAGGCCTTTGGTCCTGTCAGTGCTTGGGGGCCTGAGATTTTCACTGAAATCGGGACACTTGCAGGTACAGTGGAGCATAGAATCCCTCAGGGTGCAAACTTTCTGTGCACAAACTTTTCAAATTCGTTTATTTTCAAAGAGCAAGAGGGGTTACAGCTGGAAATGGCAGCTCTTGGAAGGATAGGTCCAATTAAAACGATCCCAGAGGCTTAAAGTAAAGGAGGAACATCATTCACCTGACTACAGTGTTTGTGCCTGTTTCCAGCGGGTCTGCCTGATATAGTGCTGTCAGCTCTGCTGCGAGAACAAATGGAGGGAATCACCCCCGAAGCTGTGGCACTGATGTCTCCGAAAAAAATTGCAGTGAGTTACACTTGTTATTAAAAAGCTGTTTGTGCAATGAACCTGCAATATCAAAGCTGGCTAACAGGGATGTTATGGTGGGAGCAGCAAAAGTTAACTTAACCTTTAAAAGCTGCAAACTTGGAGTAAAGATACAGCAAGGGTCACAGTTTATGAATTTCCCAAATGATTATTTCTACATTTATAAAAAAGAGTAAATAAATTCCTCAAATCATTCTCAAACATTGACTGATAATGTTTAAAACTATTTTAAAATCTATAAAAAAATATATACTTCAAGCATTAATTCAAATTCATTGTATATTTATAGCTGATTATTTTTATTTATCAATTTATCTAATGATTTTACAGACCTTCATTGATGACGGGGTCTATTTAATGGGCAACCATAAGGGGATAAAATAATTTATGATATACCGGTACTTGAAAAAAGGGATTATTTGAAAAAAGTCAAATATACTTAAGTATCAAATATACTTATCATTAAGGCCTGCATTTCAGAATTTATTTTTGTAATGGTCTGATGTAATATTCTGATCCTCAAGGTCATATTTTTAGAGGTTGTAAACAGAGAATCTTTATTATCAATAAGAATTAAGGTCTGAAAGCATTCATTTCTCTTTGTTTACTTTATATAATGTGTTTTACTAAGGGAATCAAGACGCTTAAATTGATAAATTTTCTTTAATGTTCTAATTTATAGTGATGAATCAATTTATTGATGGACCATCTGCTCTGTTCTCTCCTCTGGATTCATGACTTAAATTGTACAACATATGTTCAGATACAAATATTGTGATCAGTCCAGCAGGGAGAAGCAGACCGGACCAATGACTTGCATTTAGCTACAGTTCCCATCTCTTCACACATATACACTACAGGACACTACAGGATTTTAAAAGATAGGTAAAAAAATCATTTAAACTAATTAAAATGAAACTAAAACGCATGGATTGATATGACAACCTTTAACCCTCCCAGCAGCTCTGTCCCTTCTCATCCTCAGTCCTACAGCTGAGTGGAAAAGTCTTTGTGCCTTTATGTAATGAATATTTAGATCTTGTTTCAGATTTAATTTTCATAAGTTCTGTTTTCCAACAATCAAAATGGTTTATTTTTTTATATCATTTTTTATTTAACCCCCCCAAAGGCTCCTTTGAAAAGGGTGAAATAAGGCTAGTTGAAATTTAGCCTTTCAGGATGATATATCTCGCCCACAATTTCACAACGTTCTTTGTTTTGTGTCACAGGTGGTGTTCAGTGCAGAACAGTTATCATGGCTGAGTGTGGAGCAGGCGTGGGCCGTGACAGAGGAGCAGTGGGCAGAGCTGAACGCGGAGCAGAGGCATGCTGTTGACCTGGCACGGTATGAAGGAGACGTCCTGATGGAGCTCAGAGGTGTGTGTGTGTTTTTTTTTTTTTTTTTAGAAAAGTGTGGTGAGCATTCTTCTGGTAATTATTTTGTTTGTGTCAAATCAGCATGAGCTCAGTTGTGATGAATTCTACTACTTCTTTCCTGCAGGACGAAACTCTGCTTCATCAGCTCTGAACACAAAGAGCTTCACTTTATGCTCACTGGCTGTGGGCTTTTTGTTACCACAGCTAATTTAAACAATGGAACAAAATTTGATCCTAAAAATGACTTCTGCTGGTATTGTATTTGTACTGCAAATAAATATCTTTAAATTCTCCCCTGTTCATTGTATTGGAATCTGAATTTACAGAGATCTTTAATGTGCTTTGCAGCTTCATATTAATCACTTTTATAAGCGTTATTAGCTTAGTAGGCTCTAAATAACAGTGTGTGTCCCTGTGCAATGTTTATTGAACAATAAAAAAGGGGGGTGTCAATGAATAATGTTTATTTGACCGAGAAACAGGCTTTCTAACATTTATGCAACATAATCAGGGTTATAAACCTGAGGAGATTTTATTGCATGCAGGGAACCAAACTATGGAAAAATGAGAACAGAAATGGAATCAGCAATCTGTAAAAGACCTTTAATATCTTGCACCAGTTATTGATAATGTTTGTAGACTCCTGTAGGGACTTCACACGAAATGTAACTGCTCTTGATCTCAAACAATTCTGAAAAAGTAATGTTTTGCTCTATTTAAACTTACTATCTATACATCAATTAACCAAAGGACTCATCATCTCTCTTCAGATTAAAGATTGGATTCAAGATGAAACTAAAATATGGCTTTGGTAAAGAAACCATGGCAGGTTGAAAGTATTTATTAGGTGGGTTTTGACGAAAAGTGATGTGTTGTAATTCCATTTAATGATCTTTTTTTTGTGTGCTCCCAACACAAAAAAAACACAAGTTGTGGTATTTTTAGCGGACAGCAATACAAAAGCCAATCTTCTCTAACGGTCTATAAGCAAATGATGAACTTACCACTAACCACCTCACTAAAGTTTGGGCTTCCACTTCACACAGCACCACTAATGGACCAACTGCTTCAAATGCAGAAAAAATTAACATATGTTCAATGCAAAAATACTTATAGGTAAAGGTAAATTTAAAGGTTCCAAATTCTGCTGCATTTGAAAATAGAAATTATTAATGAGCATGCTTTTGCTGTTTGTGAAGGAAAATTCCTCTCAGATTAGACTCACAACATCCACCAATAACCTCCTCATTCAGCCCTCTTCTAAACGAGGCTTTCGGCTTTCCATACCCTCACCTTCTCAAAGGCTGGACCTCAAAAACCCACAACCATGAAAAGTTGGAGTTCGTAATGATGAAACAACCTTAATTATAAACAAACAAGAACACCCAGTAGCCTAGTAGCCAATTAGCCTGAGCAGATACCTCATCTATCTGCTACTTACAAAACTAATTTAATTTAACACAAGCACACAATCAGAATTACTGCAGATATCCTGTTATGAAAAGACAGTTTTTTTAAGCACAGAGAAGATGATCCATCTAATATGCTTATATGCTGACGTGTTTGCAGGTGACCAGGCTAAGCAATCCGACACAATAAAGTTATTCCCAGGTTTTAAAGGTCTGTAATGGACAGCTGGTATCAATGTACTATTCAATTTAAGGTTTGTGGAGAAGCCAGCTTTATTAGAGCCAATGTTGTGAAAGTAATCTTCTTTAAAATGCTCAGTACACAGATGTGAAATCCATCCTCTGAGTCTTCATAGGCTCAGATGAAGGCAGTAAAAAAGACTTTTGCCTTGTTGATGCAGCCAATAACAGAGGAGCTGCTTTGTTTAGCTCTTAGCATAGCCATGTCTTTTTGGACGCTCTCTCTGTGTTGGTGAGCAGAGAGATAGTGCCTGCTAGAGGGCGCGCTTAGTTAGGGGAGGAGTGACTTCATTAAGGGCAGGACTTTCGAAACAGCATTTTCAGCACACATTAGCTAAGAGGCGGAGTTAGGTAGAGAGAGGTAAATGTTTTTTTTTTCTTCCATTTGTGAACCTCATACACAGGCTTCAGGACACACGTGACTTTCAAAATGTTTATAAAGAGAATTTTGCATAATATGGGACCTTTAATGTTGCAACTCAAGAGGTTTTAGATTACATCCCGAACCTTCTTCATAAGCTTGTTGAACGCTTTTAAGTAAATTGCTTTGTTGCTACTACTCTAACAGATGATTGCAGAAGATATCACACTCTCAACCGAGCAGGGCCGTGAAATTTTTTTTGCTTTTGGACAAAATAACTTTGAGCCTATAGGCCTATTTATAAAAATAAAATAAAACAATAAACAATAAAAATAAATAACTACATAGATGGAGATTCATACACACTTCAGTTCACACAACCAACTTTTTTTTTTTTTATCTCCCTCTTGCTACTAGGGGATGCTTCAGCACCCCAGCACGCCCACTTCCTATGGCCATTCAATAGGGTGACGATATGCAGCATCTGAAAGTCAGCTGTGTACAAAGTAAAAACAAATGGTGAGATTTCTTGTAGTGGTTCCAGTCGTACTACCCTGCTCTGGGGGTCCTTTGTTTGTCTTTGGCAGTGATGACCTCATTGTGTGCCTCACAGCCTGGGTGGCTGGTCTGTGACTCATTGTGTCAGCTCATGAATACTCATATGGTGAAACCTTATACAAACATATACACTCACACATATACAATAGTTGTTTGGATACAGGTGCTTACAAATATAAAGTTATTTTCTACATAGAGCTGGGGTTGCACCTAATGTTAACTTGCACCCTATACATTTCTTTGACATTGATAAACACTAAACTGAAGCTACAGTTTAGCAACACAATAGATTCATAAACTTTTTTAGATCTAATGTCAACTACTCTATGTTTCCTGGCTCCTGCTCTCCCTCTGCTCGACCAAATGTATGTGGAGAATACCATCCAGCCCTGCTCCTCTCAGGCTCAGCAGAGTTACATTAAAAAAATCATCAGAGGAATGAAGCAGACCACCTGCTGCTTAGACCTCTCACTTCAAACCTCTCAAGTTCCTCCTTCCCTCAAATCTGCTGTCATTCGTCCCTGCTTGAAGTAACTCTCCCTGGACCCAGACAACTTTGCAAACAACAGACCCATTTCAAACCTCCCCTTTCTCTCAAAGGTACTCTAATAAACATTTCCCATGCAGCTTCAGGACTACCTCACACATAACATGCATCCATTTCATTTTTTCTGTCACACCTAACAGTGTCACCAGGGGTGCTGGTGCCTATCTCCTGCTGTCAATGGGCGAGAGGCGGAGTACACCCTGGACAGCTCGCCAGTGCATTGCTGGACAACACAGAGACAAACAACTATTAATGCAAACACTTACACCTAAGGAGAATTTAGAGAAGCTGGTTAACCTAACAGTTATGTGTTTGGTCTGTGGGAGGAAGTTGGAGTACCCGGAGTGAACCCACGCATGCTCTGGGAGAACATGAAAACCCCATGTAAAAACACCCTGGACTGGGAATCGGATCCAGAATCTTCTTGATGCAAGGCAGCAGTGCTACCCACTGTGCCACTAAGAAGCCTTCACACTTAACAATCTGAAAAATATCAGTCAGGTTTTTGTTCAGTCTACAGCACGGAGATGCCTGTACTAACAGTGACAAATGGCCTTCTGATGACAGCTGCCTAAGAAACCTCAGCTTCCTTTGACCTGAGTTTCCCCTTTAATGCATCAAATGCCAACAAATCTGCCAGATATTCTTAATCTTCTATGTATTTGTATTTGCTCCATCAATCCTCATCCTCCTGAATCTGACGACACATCTTTCGACAAGGTAGACCACACCGCTCTCCTTCAGCATCTCTATGGCATCATTCAACTTATAGACCACACACTGCAGTGGTTTGTGTTCCTATCTTTCAGATGCGTCTTGCATGGTGGATGTCAGTCAAGGCCGCTCTGTTTCACCTTCCTCCAGTTAGGGGTCATTCCTTGCCCAATTCTTTTCAACAGCTGCATGCGTCCCCTTGCTGAAGTCATCAGAAAACATTGACTCTCTCTAGACTGTTATGCTAATGATACCTGACAAAACTATCCAGATGCTGCAATATATATCAAAAACATCGCTGCCAGGTCACATCACCCTAATCTTTCAATCACTGCACTGGCTTACCATCTCATCCCAGGTCAACAAAAACAATTCTACTACTCACCCATAAATGCACCAAATGACATGCACCTGAACACTTTCAATAACTCATTACCCTACAGGTCACCAACCACACCCTCATATCAACAAATACCCTGCTCATCCAAGAGTCCATCACCAGGCTCTCCATCAGGAGAGCCTTTTACTAGACAACACTATCTGGAACAGCCTCCCTATCAAGCTGAGGGCCACTCAGAGCCTTGACTCTTTAAAAACAGGGCTGGAAATTTCTTATTCACTAAGGCTTATAAATGTTAATATATTATTGTTTATCTTTCTGTCTGTCCATCTGTCCGAGAATATGCTCTAGCTGTCACTTATTTTAGCTTTGAGATCTTACTTATGAAAAATGCATTAGAAATTAAATGTATTATATATCATTATTATACTTTTTTGTTGCCATACAAGCTGCAATGCTCAGCTTGTGAAAGTAAATATGTTGGGGCTCTACTTGGCACTCAAACAACAATTCTGAAGGCCACACTAAAAAGCAAACGCCATAAAACTGCAGTCGTTTTTGACAGTTGCTTGTTTGCTTGCACAGGTGAGCCAACAGGACCTTTATGTTGTGGGATGTCAGGTCAACAGGTCTCTAGTCATTGAAGCTCAGCTTTCTTTGGTACCGGAACAAGGCAGTAGGTCTTACATATCACTGACAACTATCATCTAGGTCACCCTTAGGTTAAAGACTTACTGTAGAATCCCACAGAGCCGCTCTGCACAAGCTTTTAGGACTCTGGGGCTGATACCATCTGGACTGGTTCAGTCTCTGCAGCTGTGTCTCTACCTGACTTCTGGAGACAGACAGGTAGAAGAGGGAGGCAAAGGAAGCAGCAGCGTCTTCTGATTTGGCTGATAATGAACACATAGACGATTAAGGGTCCCTGGAGGATTTGTTGGCATTTGATGCATGACAGGTGGGTGAGGTGTCTGTTTGGCAGTGGGTATGAGAAAAGGATGCAGAGGTTGTTCCTGCATGGGATCTATTGAGGAATGTGTTTTGTTACCCAGCTCTGACCATAAAACCATTTAACTAACCCTCCTTTTACTTACAG